AGGTGGCAAAGTACCATCCCTATGGTACAGATGGCCAAACTGAGGCCATGAGGTTAAGTGATTTATCAAAGCCACAAAGAAAGCCACTATCAGAGAGGGGATTAGATTTGAAACCGCATGCCTCTACGTTTACAATGCAAACAGGAAAGTGGTCATCAAGTGAGACCAACCATCACTTAACTATCAAAGCCTTACTTAGATCGTCTTGTGCAATCTTCTTTTGATGAAAGGCTGTGGTCCCGCCCCTCAAATCTGGAACATTCCTGATGAAGAAGTACTGCAGAAACTACATCATGCTTATCACTTTTGACTCTTCTGAAGCAATGAGAACCCGTGTGTGTGTGTGTGTGTGTGTGTGTGTGTGTGTGTGTGCGCGTGCGCGCGCACGCATGCGTGCATGCAAGAGAGAGAGAGAGAGAGACAGAGACAGAGACAGCGACAAAGAGACAGAGACAGAGACAGAGAGACAGACAGAGACAGAGACTACCTTCTATGGGTGCCTTTAAATGCAACTTGGCTGCTTTTTATTTATCCAACCCATAAAACTCTCTGGATGAGGCACAACAAAGATTCAAAATGTCCAAGAAATCATTGTTTCTAGAAATTTCCCTCTAGGAGGGTGTGCAGACATGAGCATTAAACAAGAAAGTGAGGCAAAGTGTTGAGTAGATATGTGAATACCAACCCTTGCAAGGGATTAGGAGGGTGAGGGAAGAGCAGGCTGGATACAGCTAAAGGGGCTTCAAGTTGAAAATCGCACAAGTTGAGCATCCCTAATTGAAAGTCCCACATCTAAAATGCTCCGAAGTCCTAGAACTTCTGAACATTGATATGGACACTATGTTGGGATATCCTGATCTCATGTGATACGAGTTGCAGCCACAACTCAGCTCATTAAAAACATGCATATGTTTTTAATATAAACGAATTTCACTTAGAGTTGTGTTCCACCCTAAGGTATCTCATTGGGTATATGCAAATATTCCAAGTCTGAAACCTTTCTTGCTGTCAGCATATACTCAGCTATTGTTGAGCTAGTCTTGGGCCTGGGTAAAATGATGACAGGGAAACATAGTAGAGACAAATAAGATTTTCAAAACCGGTAGAACAATGGATTACTTAATTTTTTTTTACCACCCACATGTCTAGTTTACTTCCTGACTCTTACAAAAAAATGATTTCATTTACTCTTGCCCTAATCCAGTTCTTCTGAGGGTGAAATTATGACCTCCAATTGATAGATACAGAACCTCTAGTTCAGAAAGGCAAAGCAACATGATGCAGTAGCACTGGTTCAAACACTAGTCCATTTGACCCACAGAGTGTTCATAATTTTTGTGTCCACAAAAGTGATACATTCAATCCTAAATCTCAATGTGAAGGTATGGGAAGTAGAGCCGTTGAGTGGTGACTAGCTCATGAGGCTGGAGCCCTTATAGATGCCATTAATGTGGTCTCTTTTTGTGAGGGCACTCTGTGGTGAGAGCTAGTTAGCCCTTCTGCCAGGTGAAGAGACAGTGGGAAGACAGGTATGAGCCTAATCTGTTGGCATCTTGAGTGCAGAATGGCAAGCGTCTAGCACTGTGAGAAACAGTTTTCTGTTGTTTATAAGCCACATGGTCTGTGGTATTCTGTTGTATCAGCCCACAGAGCCTAAGACAACCATTATGCTATACTGTCTCCCTTCAAGGGTCCTTGTTTTCTTCCTTTGCTTTACAATCTTTAGATAGAAAGATTTCCTTTGTAAATAGTACCCAACAAATCCCTAAATACAGTTTACCTTTTTTTTTTTTGCCAGTTGTGGGGCCTGAACTCTTCCCTCAGCTCTTCAGCTCAAGGCTAGCACCCTACCACTGGAGCCACAGTGCCACTTCCAGCTTTTTCTGCCTATGTGGTGCTGAGGAATCGAACCCAGGGCCTCATGTATGCGAGGCAAGCACTCTACCACTGAGCCACCTTCCCAGCCCTGCAGTTTACTTTTACAGCCAAAAATAGTGGTGTGTGTGTATGTGCGAGCGTGTGTGTGCGAGCGTGTGTGCGCGAGCGTGCGCGCACGTGCTTTGCTATAGCTACTTTGAAACTAACCTCACCTCTATCTTCTGCATTGAGATGTGCTATGCAGTTACTGCTTACTGACGGTTGTTTGTCTGGTCATGGCATTCCCTTGAGAAATTTATGGAAGGCAGCAGAAATCCTTCAATCTGGTCCCAACCAGGTCCTCCCAGGCAAGAGTGTGCAAGAGTGAACACAAGTGTGCTAAGCAGACACAGAACCCTACCCTGTGCCCTGCTGTCTAAAGGAATGCCTCGTGCTCTTCCTTAAGGCCCCCTTATACAATTTGATTTATCTGAATGCTCTGATTTACCATGTCTGTTTTGGTCACTCTGCATGGTGAGAATGCAGCATGGGATGAACTCTCACTTAGGCACACATGCTATTTTTATTCTACAGCATCTCTCTCACACTCTCCCTCTGTAAATTTCAATTCGTTTTCTGAAAACACCAAATCTTAGCCCCAGAGGGATATCATTGCAGGTACGAGCTTTCCCTACCGGTTAAGAGAAGAATGAAAGGCAGCAAAAGTACCCATCAACAAGTGCTTCTTAGATAACAAGAGGCTGAATCCCAACCTTGTAAAAACACTTAGCCAAAGGGATGGAGGCCAAGCCTCATGGTTAGCCTATCTCAACTCTGATTCTTACCACAAAGATGCAACTGACGAGTGTCATCACCACAACTCCATGCCCTTCACCAGACCACTAAAGGGTGGGGTGCAGTGAGAATGGGTACCTGAGCAGACATTCCAGAAAGGAGAACCGAGGATGCTGGGAACCATCTTGAATTCTGGTGAAAACAAAGAATCTTTGGTATTCCATAATTCTTAGACTAAGCACCTTTTTCTTTTCCTGATACATGATTATATAAATATGACTATGAATAGGAGATCAAAGCTTATCGTGCAGTGGGCTAAGGAATTCCACTATGGTCTAACCCAGCACAGACCATTTTAGCAAATTTGCTTAGTTGTCTAGCATGAGAATGAAGAAGCTCCAATCATAAACCTCCAGGTCAATGCTAAATAGTCACCATCATTTCCAGAAGTATATTTTTTTAAACCAAGACAGAGTGAGCACTTGGAATTTATTAAGTGATAATATATACAGATTGCTTTGTTCTTTACTGTTCAAGGAGTTGCCAGAACAATTGCTTTATTGTAGTTTCTGTAGAAGAATGTAAGATTAGAAGGAAAAGTTCATTTACCAGAGAAGTATCTCTATTGTACTGGAGAGGATTAGAAAAGACCACATGATACATGGAAAGGCAAAGGCAGCAATCCTGCTCTTCTAATTCCTGGTATATTCTGCCCAGTCTGAATTTCCTTGAATTATGATGGATCTTTTTCCTTTGCTTGGAACAACCTCTGTTCATTTAAGCATCTTTTAGATTTGACTTCAATGTTATCTACACTGTTAAGTCTCCTTAGTGTAAATAATAGGCTATTCCACACTATCTTTTTTAAGTGTTTATTTTCTTGTGTGTCTCTTTTGCCCAAAATTTCATGCCCTATGAGGGACCACTGATCTCCAGTGTTTGTAATAGTGATGGCATATACTCAATAAATATCTGTTGAATGAATGGATAAACGAATGGACCCTCCATGCTGTTTTCCTTGGAGTCCTGCAGAAATGTTTGCTTTTAACACTCACTGAGCATTTAAAATATTTAATCTGATCATAAAAAGTGAGAACACATACCTTAAATTCCAAGACCATAAATACTCTGAGTGAAAAGGTTTTATATCTCTGCTTCTCCATTATAGTTTAGATGTTTGATGAATGTTAATGAGATAACATCATACTACTACTTTATTTAAATATGGCTATCCAGATACATATTTTCAAGTTTATATATATATATATGTATATATGGTAAGCATCTGAGATTATACTACTCACACACATGTGAAATAATAAGAGATCCTGACAAAGTTCTAATAATGAGCACAAGATATTTAAAGACAAAGCAGTAAGTTTTATAAACTGTTAATCCAAAAACTGCTTCACATGGAAGAGTTCACAATGGATAGCCCTCTCAACTGCTGGATTTCCCTGAGATGCACACAGAACATTCACAAAGAGGTTCAGATTTGTGGGCCTAACATTGAGATTAATGTAAGAAATATCCATTTGCTTAGGCGTATGTCAAAGTAGACAAGAGACCGTAACTTTCTGGGATACTTTATGATACCAGCTGGTAGATCACAGACCTACCTAAACAAAAATCCGATGGAAGAATGAAAACGTGGTTACAATTATTCATCCTCCTACTGTGGGAGTTTCATAAACAAACTAATAAATATTTTCATCTTGCAATAAGATCAAGTTAAGTGATTTGCTGACATTCTCTTGAGGTTTAAGGCTTGTCTTTAATGTGAAATACAAATCGTATTTTGTGTGGACACATTTTAATAATAAACTTAAAAGCACACGAGACTATAATAATGAAAACAGTGCAATGAAAACCAGACAAACTATCTACCACTTCAAAAGCAGTGAATGAAGACTGCTCGTCAACACCCTGATGCAAAACGCCACATATTAAAATCAGGTTTTGTAGACTGAGAATCAATGAGAATGAGAGAATGAAAACAAATAAAAGCTATTATTTAAAAACAGGTAACTGACCACATGAAAATATATTGTTTGCCCAACACACACACAGACACTCACACACACAGTCCCCGCCCCCCAAACTAATCCAACGGCAAAAAAAAACCCAAAAGAAAACAACTAGTCTACTGTCTTTTTACCTTAAGAAAGGAATAAGAATTTGATGCCAAGGCCCTTTGGTTCCTAACATCCCAAGAGTGCCCTCAAAGATCAGACACTGGATCATTCACTGCCCTCAGAATCATTCTTGGTTGCCTCTCATCTTGCTATTCTGGCTTCAAGGTCATGGGTGCAATCACAACCACCAAGGTTCTCTGCGGAACCACTCACCTCTGGGTCCTGTGATGACGGGTCGGTGATGCTGTGTGAAGGCTGTTCCCAGAGAGGATGTCTGCGAAGGGGAGGGACTGCTGAAACCAGACTTCTCCGACTTCTTCAGTGTGGTTGGCGATGGCATTCCTGGTAAGAAGCAGTGATAGGTCAGTATACTAACTCAGGGAACAACAGCTTGTGTAACTTAAAGGACAATGCTGAAAGAATTGAAGAAATTAAAAAAGGAAACCCACTGGTGAATAGAAAATTTGTTTCAGGTTGCTTTGAATTTTGTCATGGGAACAAACAGGTGACATAATGATCTTTGATAAATGGGTCTATAATTGATTTTAATTTGCTATATCACAGTCTGTTTGGGGGTTATTGATCTTCTCCAGATTGTTTTCTCTATCTTGGATTGTAAGACACCCTTCCTCCCCCCCCCACCCCCACCCCAAGAAAAAGCTCAGTGTGTTAAGGGTTTGATAACCAGAGTGGAGCTATTAGGCAGTGGTAGACCTCTAAAGATTGAGGTCTGGTAGGATTTCCTTAGGGGTCTGCTCTTGCAGGGGAGATTAAGGGGCTTGGTCCTTTGTTTTAGTTATGTTTTGCTTCCTGGCCATGAGGTAAGCAGTTTTACTCTGCTACATATTCCCTGCCTTTACTATACTCCACCATAGTCCCTGCCACTAGCACCCACCGGGAACTTAAGAGTAACAGGGCCCACCCAATCATGGGTTTCAACTTCTGGGGTGTTCCCAAAATTTATTGCATGTATTTCCCAGTCCCTTAGAGAGAAGGCTTCTTAAGTACACAGAAACCTACATAACATCCTCCTGTACTGTCAGAGCCTTCTTTAGCACCCAAACACTTCTCCACATTTAATACTTTCTCTCCCTCCCTCCCTCCCTTCTTCTTTTCCTCCCTTTCTTCTTTCCTTCTTTCTTTTTTTCTTGTCCTGGGGCTTGAACTCTGAGCCTGTGTTGTTCCTGAACTCTTTTGCTCAAGGCTAGCACTCTACCACTTGAGCCACAGCACCATATCCGGCTATTTCTGTGACTAATTGGAGATAATAGTCTCAAGGACTTTCCTGCCTAGGCTGGTCTTGAACTTGGATGCTGAGATCTCAGCCTCCTGAGTAGTTAGAATTACAAGGCATGAGCCACTGGCACCTAGCAATTTTTTTATTTTTTAATCTTTTAGTTATAGTTACTTTTGCTGTTGGTAGTGGGGTTTGAACTCAGCCTGGTATTCTCAATCTGCCTTTTCACTGGTGCTCTACCACTTGAGCCACATCTCTACTTCTGGCTTTTTTCGGATTAACTGAAGATTAAGAGTCTCTTGGATTTGTTTGCCCAGGCTGGCTTTGAACCTCAGTCTTCAGATCTCAGCCTCCTGAGAGTAAGGATTATAGACATGAACCACTGGTGTCTGGCTAGTTCTCCACATTTTAAAACACCTAGCTCTTAAAACACAAAGATGCCCTCAACAACAACTCAGTTGTTCTCTCAATGGATTATTTATAATAGAAAATGTCCAACAGTTAGGGGCAGGTTCAATAAATATGACATACACTCTACAAATAATACTATAAAGGAGTATTGGCATGTGAAGAAATACTTAAAATGTTGATTGAAAAACAAATTACAACATATGATGTTTTAAATACATCAATCATGGGATGTGTGACATAATCTTAGCAGGTATTTCTATGCACTGAGAAAGAATTGGAAGGAAATATACATAAGCTACAACCAGTTCTCTCTGTTGGATTTGGGTGGTTTTTACTGCCTTCTTTTTTGCTTACTTGTCTCTTCTATGATGAACATGTATTACCTTTATGTTATGAAGACAGTATCAAAGCTTGTTTTTAAAAATAGTATAGTTATTGTAGTATCTAAGGAGTTCACAGTATTTCCAACTGGGGGAGTGGCTCATGAAATAGAGTGCCTACCTAGCAAACACATTTCCAGGCTAGGAAATGCTTTGGAGAGAAAAATAAAGACAATTCAGTCCCTTTGCAATTACTGAATTTGTGATGCTGTCAGCAACCACGCTGACATACACAACTGGAGGCATCTATCAGTTTGGTGGGGTGCCAATTAAAACAATAAAAATCTGGACATAAACCAAAAGGAAATGACTCCTCCATATCACAGGACAAATCAGGGTTCTCCTAAGTTTCTAGTACAAAATTGGTCCACTGATATCAAAAGACCCAAATTTCATTTTATTTATACATGTCTATCATGTTTTCTGGCTAGGATCTCAGAATTTTTTGAATGCATTACTACTAAGCAGTTGCTAGCTAGTATCATGTACTATACGTCAAGAACTTTATAAGTATAGATCTATCCAGATTGTTTGGCAATAGCTAAATATGTCCTTTTTTCTGTTCTTTTCTTTTTTCTCTCTGTGTTCCTCTCTCTTTTCTTTCTTCCTTTCCTTCCCTTGGCCTTGCACTTCACTTTCCTTTCTTTTATGCTAGTACTGGGGCTTGAACTCAGGGCCTCATGCTTTCACTTGGCTTTTTTTGTTGTTGTTGCTGTTAAAGCTTGGTGCTATACCACTCAAGCCACTTTTGGCTTTCTGCTGGTTAACTGAAGGTAACAGTCTCTCAGATTTGTCTGCCTAGGATGCCTAGGCTGGCTTCAAACCATGATCTCAGATCTCAGCCTCCTGAGTTGCTAGAGGTACAAGTGTCAGCCCCCAGTGTCCAGCTGTCCTTGTTATTTCTGGTCACAGATATTCTTAGTGCAGTTCTGCAACATGACTTTTTAGTGTGCCTATACTCCAAAGATCTATAAAAACACAGACAATGTCTTCTTTACCCATTTCTATGTTCAAGAGACTGATCAAAGGGCCTGAAATACACCAAGTGGCCCACCCAAACATTTAAACTCTGTGAGTAAATCTCAACTTTATCTTTGACTTTACCAATCAATGCGGTGACATAGCATAACATAGGGGCCTTTCACCCCAAGAAAGAAGAAATCATTTGAAAAGTGGTAAGGACATTTGAATGGTTAGACATAAGTACGCAATATAGACCGGAGTGTGACTTCATTCTAACTGGACACATCCGGAACTGATCTGTTCTAGATCAATATCAATGTGATTAAAAACAGTCTTCAAGCCAACTGGCTTTAGGTGTATGTGTGTTGAAAAGATAACCAGCTGTACCATATAAGTGTTCTAACATTGGTAGGATATATTGAAGTTTGGGATGAACATTCACTGCAAATAACATAACCTAAGGCATGGTCATGTAATTATAGTAGGGAAGAACTGGGTAGTAAAAATAAGAGGAATATAAAGCTATCGAAATGTACACCAGCCTCCCAGCATTCAAAGCTCTTTTGCCCAAACCAATTTTTCAGCTGCCAACCATCCATTTACTTAACTTCAAATGCCTGAATTTGGTGTCATGATAGAGATATAAAAATAGAAAATGAAAAATGTCAAAACTTTGAAGGTCAGGGATTTTTTTTTCAAACAATGGAATCACTGTATCTAAACCAACCTTACTGAAGGTTGCAAATGGTTGGACTCAAGAAAAAGTATTTATTTGAAATATGTCTGCTCCCCCCCCCCATGCTACTGTAAGTTTTGCAGAAATGTTTATTTTGCTGGTTACTCATCCAAAGGAGCAGTTACAAGTAAACTTTAGGCAATAACAAGTATCAAAAATAATCAAGTTCAGTAGCGCTGTGGCTCTAGTGTAGAGCTCTAGCCTTCAGCTGAAGAGCTCTGGGCCCAGGCCCAGAGTTCAAGCCCCACGACCAACGAAACAAACAAACAAGAATAATTAATTTAGCCAATGGTTTTTAATTCATTATAATTTAAACCTTCCTTGAAAGGGTTAAAGGGAGAAGAAACACTGTTGGCATGGAAGAGCAGCAAGCTAAACTATGTCTAATCTTCTAAATTTATCACAGTCAAGTAATCTGAACCCTAAGGCTGTCATGAATCTCAAAATTACTTTGTGTTTTCAATTTTTAAAGACTCATATTGAGCACATTTCATGATTATATACTTTAATATTTTCTCTACATGCATAATGTATGTTTCAGTTAATTTGCTTTGTATACTTAATTGACCAGATGAAATTTCAAAATGCTAGTGAACAGCTCTATGTTAAAACCTAGAGGACATTAATCTTGGCTCTTATTTTTGAAATCAAATTTGGTTTCTGCACATTACTTTAAAAAATAAACACATTGAAATTTCTTTTTTGCCAAGTATCTATGTACAACTGTCGCACAATTACCGTACAAATTAATGATCAATTAGGATTTCTGTTAATGAATCAAAATTGTACAACTTGAAGAAAGGTGAGATAGTAGTGCTAAAGCTTCATGGAACCAAGTTCTGCCAATAGTTATGAGAGTTTGAAAAGGAATCCCAGGCTCCAGAAAGGAATGCAGCCCGGATAAATGTTCTTGTAGCCTTGTGAGACCCTGAGCAAAGGACAGTTATGATATGCAGATTTCTGACCCATGGAAACTGTGTGATAATTGTGTATCATTTTAAGTTGCTCAGTTTGTGGTGATTTGTTACACAATAATAGAAAGCTACAAGACTGTTGCCATTACCAGAATGCCTATTCTTTTTTTTTTTTTGGTTGGTTGTGGGGCTTGAACTCTGGGCTTGGGCGCAGTCCTTCTGCCCTTTAGCTCAAGGCGAGCTCTCTACCGCTTGAGCCACAGGGCCACTTCCTAAAATGCCTATTCTATATTACTCTATTACTCTCTAGAATTCCAGCAATTTCCATTTTTTTTTAACCTAATCCACACTAGCTTGTGAAAGTTTCCACTAACCCAGAGAAAATGGAATCTTAGAAATGGAGCTAAGAATTAGTTATTTCCAAAAAATTTTAAACATTTGATAATTTCTATTTCCTTCTATTTCTTTCAAGAAACAGGAATGACAAAATCACATTGAAAGATATTTTTAACACCCCAAATCAATTCTCATGGTCTTTTATAAGAAATGAAGGTGTTTTAGATAAATTTTTGTTGCAACCCAGTTATAGAATTAGAAAAAGTGAAATAGGAAAAAATTGTAATTTTAATTTCTCCACCTCAAATTACAATTATAATACATATTTGTATATAACATATATAATTTTTAATAATTATTATTTG